GGTCTAGATGTCGATTCAAAAGATAGTGGAGGGAGTACACCGTTGATGTTGGCTGCACGTTTTGGCAAGATTGAAGCTGTAAATTATCTTTTAGACAAAGGAGCCGATCCCTGTATTAGAGACCAGTTAGGAAGAAATTCACTGCACGTCGCTTCACAGGGTGGTAATGTCACCGTCATCGAGAAACTAATGTCACGTGGTCTAGTTGTCGATTCAAAAGATAGTGGAGGGAGTACACCGTTGATGTTGGCTGCAGCTTATGGCAAGATTGAAGCTGTAAATTATCTTTTAGACAAAGGAGCCGATCCCTGTATTAGAGACCAATTAGGAATGAATTCACTGCACGCCGCTTCACAGGGTGGTAATGTCACCATCATCGAGACACTAATGTCACGTGGTCTAGATGTCGATTCAAAAGATAGTGGAGGGAGTACACCGTTGATGTTGGCTGCAGCTTATGGCAAGATTGAAGCTGTAAATTATCTTTTAGACAAAGGAGCCGATCCCTGTATTAGAGACCAATTAGGAATGAATTCACTGCACGCCGCTTCACAGGGTGGTAATGTCGCCATCATCACAAAAATTCTGTCACTTGGTTTGGATGTTAATTCAAAAGATTTTGCAGGTCGCAGACCGTTAAAAGTCGCAAAAACATATGGCAAAACTGAGGCCGTAACCTTCCTACTTAGCAAGGGAGGACATTAGTTTTTATTTCTTACTGCTCCTTTAAAATACGTTGTTCAGGTCCATAGTCGCGAAAAGAAACGATTGATAAATTTCACAATATTGAGTAAGACTAGATAATAATTAATTCATAATACCGCGAGAGAAGGAACAAATCTAGGAAGGCCCATCGATTCCCTCTTTGATTGTATAAAATAGATCACCTGCACACGATGTCATCACAAATTTAACATAACTTTACACCCTAACATCAGTATTCATGTTCTCCATACTGTTCTTGATACATTTCCTGAGGTGCTGACAAGGAGAATTAGCTTAACGATCCAGAGCTTCTGTAGTTGTTGATCATTTCCGTTATTCTCATGACCTTAATATGTGATTCAGGGGTGATATTGTAAGGAGAAATTAGATGCTAGTCACTCTAATGGGGTTAAAGGGTTAAGTTCAAATTTTCACCCGTCAGGCTTCTGTCATCAAGTTGTAGTTTATTTCATTCAATCATATATGAACTCAAATGTAGAGCTTTAACCCTTTCACTCCCAAGATCTCATCAGTAATTCTCCTTACTGTCTGCCATACAACTCTTTTGATGTTAATTTAGAGAATTTGGTATTGGATCAACCAATATTTACCTTGTTGATATTTTTCTTTATTCTCCTCACTAGTCTGCATTGTATTGATACTGTAAGGAGAAATTCTGTCTTGGTCACTTATGGGAGTTAGAGGGTTAAAGATTTTCCATCGAGGAATCAAGAGCTCTTTCAAAAACCCCTTTAACCAGGTACTCTGGAACTTTGTATCATAAGTGTTTTATGATTTTTAATAAGATGCGTATTTTAAGATGAGAACTGCAGTACACTGTTATTTGTTATCACCAAACTCAATGTAGAGTAGTGTGTTTGGATGTTTTAACATTCCCATATAATTCAGTTATATATTCGTTATGCATTTCTAAACTTTAGCCTTAAGTATCAGTATTTCTAAAAGATATGTAGATGATGAAGCATTCTTTTCTTATATTCCAAAGTGGAACTTCTATCAAGTTTTAGACTAACAGGCCATTACATTAGTCATTAAGGCTATTATATCATTGGGACTATACTCTCTATACTTTTATCGTAATACATTGCTGGATCCTAGGAGTGACAGATGACCATATGCTTTGATCATCCAGATGGAAGTAGTCCAAAATCTTGTCAGTGACAATGGCTTTATTTCAAAGATATGAACAGAAGTTATTATGACAATCAAGTGAAAAATTGTAAGTTCAATTCTAGTCCTTGAAAAGTGACAAATGTCATTTGGATGATCACACCACATGGCTCAATGTTCTCCTTGGTTAGATGATTATTAGTGTGTTTTTTTTAGTGTTGTCTTATGATACGGCTGGGAGACTTTTCAGTTATGAGACACTATTTGCTTTGTAATGAATTGATAACTTTTAAAATGTAGTAGAATAAAAACATAACAACATTTAAATTATGTTTTTTGGTAAATAACTTGGTAAATGGTCAAGTTCGATAAATGTAAGAGGTAAAAACCGCATCTGCTACTTTAATTCCCCTCTAAGCCCCTCCCCCACCCTCTCCCCCTCCCCTTCCCCCACCCCCTCCCCCACCCAAGCTCCTTCCCCTTCCCTCACCCCACCCCTCCCTCCCCTCCCCCACTCAAACCCCTTCCCCTTCCCTCAACCCACCCCTCCCTCCCCTCCCCCACCCAAACCCCTTCCCCTTCCCTCACCCCACCCCTCCCTCCCTTCCCCCACTCAAACCCCTTCCCCTTCCCTCACCCCACCCCCTCCCCCCTCAATAGCCTTCTTCTCGTGGGGAACTTATTCTTGATCCCAAAATGTGCAAGGAAGTTTTGTAGAATGATCAAATGATCCTCTCACTTTAAGACAATTGTTTTATCTTTGCAACCTTTGATTTGTCACAAAACCGTCTTTTTGCTCCCGCAGGGTTTTTGGCCTCAGAGGGCCAAAAACCCGAGGAGGCACCTTAGGACTCCCCGCGTAATATAGAGGAAGACTGGAGAAGAGGGAATGTGGGTATTTGCGGTAGATCATAACCAGAAAAAATCTCGATTTGATCGCTTGCACGGCCGCAAGGTATCAACGTTTTTCCCGCAAATGGTCATGGGCTGCCAGTAAAAAGACACGCGCGCGAGGACTTTTAGGATCGGCGTCTTTGACACGAGATTTGTCCTAGTATAGAGGAAGACTGGAGAAGAGAGAATGTAGGTGTTTTCGGTTGATCGTAACCAAAAAAAATCTCGATTTGATCGCTTGCACGGCCGCAAGGTATCAACGTTTTTCCCGCAAATGGTCATAACTACACAACTGTAAACAACAAGCCCAACTCAAAAAAAAAAAAAAAGAAAATGGTACTGTAGGGCGGGGGCAGCTCTAGTGAGAACTATAACTAGTTATAGTCTTACAACACAGTGATAGGTAATGAAAGGATGAAATTATTTTCAAAACAAGATACGGCGATGAGCTAGTTCAGGTGAAGGCGGCTATTCTATTCAATGAATAAAGAGGGTACGTTTCTAAAGAAACTGTGGAGCTGCGTCAGTGGAAGAGTACAATAGGGTAATTAAGTATCATTGACTGAGTTGATAACTCAGCGAGCGTTAGACCTTCGTCAGAGCGATTGTCGAAGGGCTAACGCTCGCAATGTCAACTTTGAAACTCTTTATGGTGGCCAATTTACGTTTCCAACTCAGTTGATAATACCTAACAACCCTATTCTATTAAATGGTTTATCGATAACATGGCACCTTGCTGCGTAATCGCGGGTGGTCTCTTATTTTAGAAATTTATGCGCAGAATGGAATACGTAAGCCAAGGAGGGGTGTGAGACGGACTATTACTACAAAGGGAGGGGTGGGAGGTGGTTGAAATAGGAAACGCTGCTGGTTAATGGAGCTTTTACTCGATCGTACAAACAATTTGAATTGGTTTTTCGACTGAGTTTTTGTACGTCAAATATAAGCTCTGGGTCGCGTCGTATCTTCATTTTTTTGTCATGCGGAAGCGAAACTGCCACGTTAATACTGGACTTTAATTTGTATTGAAAATATCGCGTTTACGATCCTCCACCGTTGAGTTATGCGTGCACCTTTTGAGTCAATTTGTGCACTATCAGTTGCTTCAAGTTTCCCTTTGTGTATACAGTATGTAATTCTTAACTTTAACTATCTACACGTACACGTTTAAACGAGTACTTCTGTACTCCTAGGTGTCACGTGTTTAAATAAAGGATTGATTGATTGATTGATTGATCTTCCTTTTGTCATTGATCTTATCAAACGAGATCACGGAATTTCCGGTCTTTAGCCCTTAACTTGGCAACATATAGAATTCACAAGCGCTATTGCAATTTTAAAGTTTATACCTTTACTATTAAAAATCATCAGCGAACGATTTTGAAGAGGAATCCATGCTCTCGAATCGACCAAAAACACTGCTGTACTCTCAAAATGGGAAAGTGCAAATATCGATTTCATCTGTTTCGCAAACAAAGGAGTTAATCACCGACACCGGAAATCGCGACCGGGTATTCCTCGCGACTCCCCTAGGTTTGTTATCCAATTTACCCAAGCCGCTGTCGATCAGTTCTTGCGTTAAGACCTATGAAACCTGCGAAGTGGAACTATGGTGGCTACTGTTGCTTGCCGATAATTTCCGTCGGCAAAACGTAAAAGTCCAGTGTTTCGTGGTAGTTTCGCTTTCGCATGACAAAAAAATGAAGAAACGCCGCGACCCAGCGACCCAGCCGCGACCCAGCGCAAAAAATTTTGACATAAAAAAACTCAGTCGAAAATCCAATTCAAATTGTTTGTACGATCGAGTTAAAGCTCCATTAACCAGTAGTGTTTACCATTACAACCACCTCCCACCCCTCCCTTTGTAGTAATAGTCCGTCTCACATCCCTCCCTGAGTAATAACACTCTGCCTCCCACCACTCCCTCAGAACTGATAGACTTCATCCCACCCCTCCCTCAGTAATAATGGTGTGCTCCACCCCCCCCCGCCCCTTAAATGGTCCAAAAAAAAAAAAGTCCAAAAATGGTCCAAAAAATGGTCCAGCCATATTTTACCCTATGCCGTAAAGTTTCATCTCACGCATGCCTAAACCAAAGATACTATCGGCAAAGTGACAAACTTTTCCATTGGCAAGTTGAAGTTCTTCAAACGAGAAGTCTTTTTTGTCCAAGTTTATTACGATGCGGCTCGCAAAGGAACAGTGGCGTGGGAATTCCATTAAAGTTTCAGTAGAAGTTTCAAGTACTGAAGAAATTCAACCACATGACTGCACGTATCGCTACGTGTACCGAAACATTTGCGTTGCGTGACGAGAAGGTTACTAAGGTAATCTGATTACCTTTGGATTCTCACAAGCGTACGTAAATAGGAAAACAAAGAAGCAGAGTATAGTATTGTTCACCAAATCGCGATGACTACCAAATTATTTACACTTCGCCCAACTGACGAAGAAATTATCTGGGTACTTGATGACCAGATAAAAGAACACAGCTCTCCGGAGATAAAGAAGCTGCAATTTGGTCAAGATTCAATCGCTATCTAATCATGATTTTCAACATCAGATTTATTCAAGAATCTTCACAATGATAAGAAATAGTATTCACGTTGACTGAAGGTCAGGTCAGCTTCAAAGATCGGTCAACAATATGAAACATTGACGTTTGAAAATTCTAGAACCACGCAAAAACACGTAACCCGCATAGCGTGATAGTAGAAAGAAGTAGAGAGTGTTTAAACGGTTTTTAAGTACGTGCCTAAGGGGTTTCCGCTAATTCTGAGCCGCGAGACAAGTCAAAGCAGGTTGGGTCGTTTATAAATATAACTTCGGTGCGTCTTTCTGTTCATTTGTGTGGATATCACTTAAATCTTAAAAAGGTAAATTATCTCGACATAGTACACCTCAACCCGCAAAATTTTATTTATCAGTTATGGAGAAGCTTTACAAGGCACGCAATGAAACCTACCTTTGGCAGGTAAATCCGAAATTCTGGAAAGAGCCTTTGCCGAAGCAGAAGAAAAAACTAACTAAAGGAAAGAGCTACCTTCCGTATTTGCCTCCATCTTATCGTTTTATAAACAACAACTTCAGTAGTCTGGTATCGTCTCAAGGAGATTTTTGCCGGCTAAAAGAGTGCGCTGTGTTCAGAAGAAGACCAAGTTGGCACAGGAGACGCTTTGTGCTGTTGGAAGATAAGCTATACTGTTATGAGAAGAGGGAAGAAGTGCTGGTGTTCTCCGAGATCATAATGATGTCCAATGTCACGTCTTTGACTGTTCAGAACTCTATATGCATTAAGATTTCCCAGGTTGATGGGAGTATTAGAATGTTGAGATTTTCGTCTGCAGAAGTCAGAAACGCTTGGCTCACGGCCTTATTGACAGCTAAGGCAGTCAATTTACTGAAGTACCAGTAATACAGCAAGGGGCATCACTGCTTCAGTAAATGATCTGAACATTCAAGCATGTAATTAGTCAAGTTTAATTCTTTACAGGTGTAAATATACTCTAAGACTTCTGATAAGGTTTGAAACAATATTGATATCATAATTATGACTAGGAATTTTTTAAAATCTCTCAGGGAAAAATATTCAAAATTTCTGAGTCGCAAGTCAAGGTTAAAACAGTATTTATTTAGTCGTTCAAGGAAAACAAATATAAGTTCCCTGAAATTGTTGCGTTTTTTTTCGTACAGCCTTTACATTAAAGTGACCTTTGAGATAATTAATCGTAGAGCATGATTACTTTCAATACGCAATCTTTTAAGAGAGAAATAAGCACCTTTTACTGTCAGACTAATAGATTTGTATAAAAGTCTTTTTAATGCGACTTTAACTATAGGAAAAGTCCAGAGGAATTGGGATTATTCATGAAAAATTTAATCTTCTTTCGACCATAAAATCCATTTGATTGCAATGACCCAATAAGGTAAGCTTTAAAAATATATCTGTAGGTCGCGAACTCAGGATATTATTCCTGTAAATAGTTTCATCTCGTTGAAAATGCGCAGTTCAAACATAAAAATTTGACTGAGGAATACGAGATGGGTGGCATGTTTACATAACAACTCTTTACCTCGTCCGCCGCACTGACCGGAAGATAAGGTCAAATTAAATGAGTTGTTTTGAACAACACTTCGGCTACTAAAAATACATTTTATTAGAGTTTCTTCACAACCACAAATATCAGAGGAATTTTCTGTTTATCTTAACCCTTTAACTCCCAAGATCTGATTTTCAATTCTCCCCTCTAGCTGCTACACATCTCCTTTTCAATCAGTTAAAGAATTTGGTGTTAGATCAATAATAACAACTTCTACATGATAAGTTTTAATATTCTCATTAACTGTTTGCTGGATGATGTATGGATATTATAGGGAGAAGTTACCTCCCAATCACTTCTGGGAGTTAAAGGGTTAACCATTTCCTCCCTAGATTTCTCAAACAGTGATTTTCTTTGCTGATTGACATACATATGTTGACTCTGAGAATTGGGGAGTTGATCAGACAACATCCCTTTTCTTTATTCTCGTCACCAATCTGCTTGCCTTTGTATTGATATCGTGGGGGCAGGGAATAATGAATTGGTCAGCAGTCCTGGTGAAGGGATTAACACTCTACAATGAAGATTATCAAGAATACGCTTGGCATTTAGTGATGGCAGAGAGGAAAAAATTTCATTTTGGCAACGTGAGTTGAACAAATCTGAACAGATTTTAGGTGGAAAAATCAAGGAACATGTATTTTCAGACGTATTAAAATCGAACTTGTTCTCAAAAATTCATCCTGTAATAAGACATTGAAAACATGATAGCGAGTGACAATTTTAGGTATACTGCTTTGTGCGTGAACTGTAGTTTGTGTTACGTCACACACGTGAAAAGGTGAGTGGTTACCACGCACAAAAAAGACTTTTTTCACTATGCCGTTACAAGAAACCCACCAAAGTCCAAAGATGAAAAAGCTCTGCTCGGGACATCACTTATACGAAGTCATGCCGGAGCATAAACGAAGTACGTGTTCGTTTCTACTCTATTTTGCGGGTCAAAAATGCTAAATATGGCCTTTATCACAAGCACAACATTGAGGGAGCTCGGATTTCGTAATCGGAAATCTACCCGAGACAACCCCCTTATGACGGATTTCGCAATACGCTTTCCCGTGCGTGACATAGAACGAAACTCTTCCGCCTTGTTGTAAATTTACATGAAATGCCAAAACTCGAACTGCGCTCGATCGGAATGCTAGTATTTTAGATACATAGCAACGACAATTGAAATGTCTAACGTAGAATATAGTCACCTTCTTTTTGAGATAAGCCAACGACTCGATCTACTAGACCAACATGAACATTTACTCTTCATGTGTAGAAGGTATTTAGCGTCTAGACCTGAAGACATTCCCGATGCACTTTCGCTCTTTCGAGAGCTAGAAGAACAAAATAATTTGGCCATTGATCAGGTTGAACTATTGAAAGAGCTGCTAAAAGGGTTCGGAGAATGGTCGTCGTTTCAGAAAGTGGAAACGTTCGAGTACAAAAGGAAAGATTATAAAGAATTGCTTGAACAGATCAGCCGTGCTCTCGACGAAAGCAATCAACTGCAGCAGCTTATTTCTGTCTGCACCGCGAAGGAAACGTTGGACGAAAATGAAAGAAACACTCAAACTGCTCGAATTTTGTTCGAAAAACTTGAAAGCCGAGGACTTTTTGAGTTTGGTCGTCTTGATTTCTTGAAAGGGATTTTATTGGGAATTGAGAGACAAGATCTGGTGAGGAAAGTTCAGGATTTCGAGAAGCGACGAATTGACGAGGATGAATTTGAAAGAAGGAAAGGTAACGATTATTTAGTTCTCTGTAATTTTTATTTTGCCGCATTTTTTGCTGGAAAGTATCTAAGAGTCTTCGCTCAAATAGCGTCAATCGAATGACCGTACTATGCTATTCATTGATCAGAACTTAAAATTTAAATCTAATTCTGTCACTTTATTACAATTCTCCTGCCTAATTTGTCATTGAATCTTACAATTTAAGCGCAAGCCCGTAGCATTGTTGCGGCAGCCAGGGTTGTTGGTGGAAGAGTAATCGGAGGTGAGTTAAAATTGGTGTGATTTAAGTGTTGAGCACGAGTAGGGAAGAGTCTCAAACTCCTTAAACAAATCAAAGATCTGAAGCACCCTAAACTAAGTTATGCATTTGAGACGATCTACTATAAAACTATTTTACGGAGATATCAGAAAGTGTGGGTATCTGGCGTACTTGTTAACATACTCGTGTCAGTGCGTTATAGGGTCGAAGTTGTTTCCAATTTCTTCGATGAATCAGAGTAGTGCCCCCAAACTTCGCCAGCGAGGAAATTGTCAAGGCGGACTAAGTAATAATTTAGGGTCTTTTCAGAGTGTCCATCAATAAACACTAGGTGTTCATTGCCCACCTAAAAGTTAGGTATGATGCAGGGGATGTGCGCACTCTGATTACTTTGCATCATGGTCGTTATACATAAAATGAGTCATTTGCATCCTGCCGCGGTCGAATGAACATCTTTGGTGGCAGCGAGATAACGTGAATTGGGATTCACTGTCTGTTGCCGTTCCTTCCAAAGTTTAACAGTTTTTTCGGACCTGCGCGACTCTTGTCGTTTCTCCGTGACGAATTCGCTCTTAGGAGGCAACTGACGAGGTTCAGAAAGAATCAAAACTGCAGTCTTACCCTAGAAACTAGACAAATGGCAGCAGTTACATTCACAGCCGATGGGTATGTGAACAATAACAAATTCAGAGAACACATTCCTAGACGCGAGTTATATATTAAACGCATTACAAAGACCTAATACACGAAATTTTTTTCGTGTCATCCACCTGGCGTAAACACAAAAGAAGCCCTTCGCCTGCTAAGAACGAATTCGTCACGCTCCACGTTTAATAGAAAACGTACAGAGTTTCATGAGACGCTCAAAGAAAAGAGGATACGTATATGAATGTTTGAGAAACGTACCACCGGAGTCATTTTCCGCGGCAGAGAAAGTGCACTTTAAAACAACAAACGCACACAGAAGAAAATTTATATTGCCTTTCGTGACACAACTTCATCCAGCTTTGCCAAACCTCAAGAACCTACAGATGCGGTAATGACACCTTAAAACTAACCGTTATTATCACATCGCAAAGGAAAACCATTAAAAGATATCTTTATAACAGCTAAACTTTGAGGACAGAAGATTTCAAAGCGCTAGCGAATGAGCAGGAGTCGCACAAGCCTATCAACACCTTGTAACGGTCGACTGCCTTTTGTTTTCCGGCTTACCCGGCGTGTCGCGCAATGTAGAGTTATTTATTGGTCAACTAATTCCTTTCACTTCTCTAATTCAACTGTTCTTCTTCAATGATCAAGATAGTAGACTTTACCATACAATACTCGTGATTAGTTTATTTGCTTTTACTTAGGAAAGCTGATTTACAACAAGATTGAGCATATATGGGAATAACAATGGTAACGCTGTGTGCTGGCGTACAATCTTACATATATATTACGCTGTTATATATATTCCCCTCGAGAACCATTGAATACGCGACAAATACGTACAAAAAATACTTCACCTTACTTCTACAGCGTATTAATTGTTATCTGATCGCTTACTTTGATGAAAAGAACCCATCTTAGCGAGTTGTCCATTTCAAGGTTTTCTGCGTACCCAAGAAAAGCCCAAGGCTGAACACTCCATTTCCGAACGCGTGTCAAGGTTGATGTTTACCCGGGCTGTTAGAAACCTATAAATCATTTATAGGTTTCTAGTTGGAAATTTTTGATGCAAACTGCGGCTTAGCGTCGGTTGCACGGGGAAGATTGAGTTTGTAGTGAATTGAAATGAAACTACAGTATATGTGCTTGGATTCTGCGTTGGATTTGTGGCTGCCCGGTCATTTTGCGCTGGGATTTTTAACTCGTGAATTGCGCGCATGCGCAAGAACGAGTTGTAGATACGATGTGGGGAGTGACACTCGCTCGCTCGCTCGATTGGTCGATTCCTGTAAACTTTTTTTCGATTTTAGGCTTTTGAGTGCATTTGATAGTTTTTGGCGAGCAATAAACAAACGAAATGGCGACCTTTATTGCTGAGAATAATGGTGGGGAGAAAAAAGAAGCAAATGATAATCTTAAAAGAGTTTTTTTTTTCATTTTAGTTTCAACAAGCGGCGCCAGTGACTGGCAGGCATGCAAGGATTCACACTGAAATAACAGAACAACCTTCGTTTTTCATAAAATTGTAATTTACAATCCTTGAACTTGAAAACAATCCGAAGATTCATTGAAAATATCACTTACTGCGAAGGGCTCGGAGTTTACAGATGATCAAAAGCTTTTTCTGTTATGGCGTGAGATTGAGGACAAAATCGATCATTACGTTTCGTATCGTGTGTTTTTCCTGTGTGGAGCAACAGAAGATGCCGGCGACTGACGAAAATACATGTTAACACGAAAATCAAATAACACCTAAACAAACAATTTTAGCTACCGATTTTCAGTAAATTTTTAAAGAACAATTTTCTTTTAAGTTTCAAGACAATTTGAAGATTCAAAATACATATTGCGTACTAAAATGCGAAATTTATACACCACAAAATTGATAAATAGGCCTGAAATTAAATTCTATCTTGTTATTGATTATACGTTGCCTAGCACGTGACTAAAATCTACCCAGGCGGAGATCCAAAATGACAGTGGCAGTCTTGGCTTGGTTATATCACTCAAAACTCGTTCCCGTTTGTCTCATTTGATAAAGAGGGAATCGTTAATGTTTTCATTAAGATAGTATTGCCTTGATTTTCTAATATTTACAATGATAGACAGTAAATTTCACTTTTCATCCACATTTACTTCCAACCTTTTCTTTTGAACCAGAAACAAAAATGATATACGTTTAAAACACGACATCATCCACCCTTGTCAAATGTCATAGCATGATCATTTCAATTGTAATGCCTTCTTATCCCGACGTTACTTTGTTTCTTTGCTACATTAGCGAATACTGAACTACTGCTCGTACTCTAGATATGACAATCAACCACAAAATTCCCTAAACCAGATAACATTAAACATAATCCAAAGAATCATGTGTCAATTCACGAGTTTGCTCACAGAGCACTTTGATTCGTTACTCGGATCAGGCGTTCGGAAATGGAGTGTTCAGCCTTGGGCTTTCCTTATGTGCGTAGAAAACCTTAAAATGGACAACTCACTAAAATGGGTTCGTTTCATCTAAGTAAGCGGTCAGATAGCAAGTGATACGCCGTGGAAGTAAGATGAGGTATTTTTATTGAGAATTTGACGTATTCTTTTATTCCTTAAAGCGCTCGTAAATATTCCCATACAAACTCTTCTAATTCCGCCATGACTGTTATTGCGCAGGATGATCATCTCACAGCTGGAGCTTGGGCCGTCTGTGCTTCTACACATTCAGAATCAATCAAAGTTCATGTACCTATGGTTGAAGAAAAAGGAACGGCCTAACTTTTACGAAACGTTCAGTCAAAATCTGCCGATTTCGAATTTTGCCGCTTTCATCGGGTCACGAGGCTGAAATGCTTGCTTCAAGCTGAAGAATACCATTCGGGCGAGATTTCTAAGATTCTACAGTCATATTTCCCAAAAATGAACCCAGAGGTAAATCAAAATCGGACAGTCTGCTTCTTAGATAACATAGTTCCGCAGACACTTATTTGGACATAATTTGCATCGGACTGCGATTAATTTGGGTTAACCGAGCGATCACGTCGTCAGGGACGGTATGTTTTCTCGCAAACTACAAAAAAAAAAAAAAAAAAAAAAAAGTCAGCGGATTCAAGTAATGCAAAACAAAATCCCTCGATGTTTGACAGTCATATTCTGTCACCTCTTACGGTTCTTTTCCAGCTTGTTTACAATGATCTTCGCCAGACTACCACCAAAAATGATTTTAAATATCAACATTCAAAATTTAATTTAGTGCCATTTGTTTCAGTACTGAACATGAAGACAGTGTTTGGAGTGGCAGCAGCGGGAATAACCTTACTCACTGTCCGTGAGATTTTGACTCGATGGTCAACTTATGATCAGTTAGTCACCTGCTTCCAGGGTTGTGTGCTTCCTGCTGGTTCAAGATTGATTGAAGTGAGTCAAGGGTGCGTATGCTTTACAATTCAGGTCGACAATCTCACGGGGCTCACTGCTTTGTGGAACATGTACGAGGATGGCACGCTCAGGGAACGTTTATTTAAATTTTTTGTGACCGATGAAATGAAGACCCGTGCCGGTGGTGAAGAGAATGTGGAATTGACTGTGACGATTGAAAAAGCAGAATACGAGAAAGCTTACTTTGAGCTTGTTCAAGAAGCTGACGGTGAGTAACTTTATCTGAGGATGTTGATTAAAACAAAGTTGATGCGTGTTTAAAATCAACAACACTGGGGATCTTTTTATTCTGCATCTTTTGTACGCTCGGAGGCCGATCTCCTCCGGGGTTATTGTTTCAATAGCAAAAGTTAAAAAAAACTATCACTGTATGGATTGCTCGATTTTGGCTCAATTTGCGTTATTGTATACTTAAACAACTTTTTTGTCAAATTTTGCTTCATAAATTAAGTGATAGATCATAGATTATTGAATAGCGAAAGAAAACATTTCCGACTTGGACCAGTCAATTGCAATCATTATCCTTTTGCAGGCTGAAGCAGTGCATACATGAGCAACCTACCCACTTGCCATCTCCTTCATTTTAATTTGCCAACTTGGGCTGGTCAGTCTCATTGGCTCATTATATTTCACGCTTAATTTTGTTTTGGTTGTTGAAGTGTAGGAATTTAGCTGTTCAGTAACAAGAGGAAGAGGTTTAATTGCACAGCTTTGCTGCTGCTTCAACCACATTAAGCTATGAACAAGGGCTGTTTTGAGTAAATCCGATAGATATAATTTATTGGCCAAACAATTAACTGTGGAATAAGATCATTGCCTTGTTCGACTCGACGTTATCGTTGCTGGCAATTTTTAACTTTTAATTTCCGAAGCAATACCATTAATTAAGGGAAGTAAACTTTGACAGCCCATTCTATTTTCGGTATTCAGGTTAATATTCAATCACTGAAATAACGGACACGAAATATGGAGGAGAATTCAGTTCTTTAATTGCAAACCATGGCGTAGTGAATTTCTTTAGCGGATCTACGGTTGTTCGGGTGACTCGGCCGAACCTCCTAAACTGAAATGAAAACCTGAAAACACTTGCAGTTTTTTTACAAAAACCTTAAATTGGATATGCCAGGAAAATATTACTTGTTGATCCCATTTAAAAATTTTCCGAGGGATGCATACCCCCAGCCGCTCTTGAATGGTCCGCTTTCAGTGGACATTTATCTGAACTCCCCTTCACTAAATCCTGCATCTTCCCCTTATCGTGTGCGGGTGGGTGCGTGGGTGTGCGTGTGCGTGTGTTAGGTATGAACACTACAGTAGATCTAAAAATAATCAAAATGATTCTCTGACCACCATTAGGTAACCAGAAGCGACCTCCGGAACGAGGTGTTCGTAGGCACTCCGACTCAGTGTTATCTCTCCCACCCAGAACAGCTGAAAATTCTCTGATAACAATAGCACAACTTAAGAACCAAGTCAAGTCTCTGGAGGAAAGAATAGAAGCTGTAGAGACTCAAATGGTTCCATTTGAGAAAGGTAACTATGCAATTAAAGGATTTGTTTCTCTAGCTATGCGAGAAGGGATAGTAAATGGTAAAATGTCACAATCTGATTAAAAAGTAAACGAATATCTCTATCGGCTCTAATATAGAGGAAATATCATACCAAAAAATAAAGTAAAAACTGTAATATTTTAGGTGCCAAATCTTCGATCCACTGACCAATCTATTGGATACAAAACGGTTTCTAAGTTTTATTCATTAGATCTGCTAATTCTCTGGAACCATCTGTTAAATATTGTTATCGGTTATTTTGTTAAATCGCCAATGTGAGCATAAAGGGCTATATTGGTGGTAGATTCCTCACTGATTTGATTTATTCTGGGTGTCGCTGCTGATATTACTAGCCCTGTATATTAAGCACTTAGAAGATGCGTTTAATTAGGATGCGAGCGATGTCATCGTTTATTATTAAAGATAACATCTCTCTGGTCTCTTGCACTCGATTTTGTATTATGTCTAAATAAGAGGCAACGCAAATACTCACAGTCAACTATGTCCTTCACCAACTGAAATTTAGTGAGTTTTGATCAGAATACGTACAGGCAAACCGAGCTCCAGCTGTGTGATGATCATCTTGCGAAATAAGAGTCATGGCCAAATTATAAGAGTTTGTATGGGAATGTTTACGATGGCTCTTAGGAACAAAAAAAGAAAGTCAAAATCTCTTTAAAAAAAACCTCACCCTACTTTCACAGTGCATCGCTTGTTATCTGACCGCTTACTATGTTGAAAAGAACCCATTTTAGCAAGTTATCCATTTCTAGGTTTACTTAGGCTTCTGTTATGAGTAAGTGTACAGTAGTTGTATTGTGCAATCCATGCAGATACTAATAGTTTGATTTTTTTTTACTCTGAGATGCACTACTGTACACGAACTTACAAGTAGCGCTTAATGGTATCAATTCTTACTCTTACACCAATTTAGAGCAAACTATAAGCAAAGATGAACATTTGCATCCCTTGAGCAAACGTATTCAAACAGTAGTGAAAAATAAGTTTTGCACCATATTTGCCTGGTTTTGCACTCCAAGGCAAACTACTATTTTTTGCAAAGAGGGTAAAGTTTTCGCAAACTCACGTCGTTATTAAAAAATTGCCCTATGTGCAAGGATTAAGTAAATAAAGAGCACATTGTCTCATTTACTTTACATTTGCGTACCAACACCGTAAGAACAAATCAGCATATTTATATATTGTTTTGCAAATGCGGTGCAAATTTAGATCACTAAATTTGCTACATATTTGCTCACTTGGCAAACCCGAGTAAATCCATTTTTTCGTGCAGGGGATGGGCTAACCCTCGAAACTTCAGCTAAGAAACTCACGGTGGCCTGCAAATTGTCTATTGTTAGGTCCTGCGAAGGTGCCAGGAAGAAAATGTGAACACTCTGATTCAGTGATATCAACAACGCCGAACGAGGATGAAACATTGCAAGTAAAAGTGAAAAGACTCGAGAATGATGTCCAACTCCTAAAGGAGAGAGCGGAGAGTCAAGAGAAACAAATGACTAGACTTTCACGTGAGTTTTTTGGGACAAGGATGGCCACGGAAATAATTCCAGCAGAGGAAGGTAACTAAATCATGCAAACACTCAAGTTAAGCTAAACAAGATATATATACAGTCAAACCTATATTAAGCGGTCACAGGGAATGACGGGGTTGGCGCTTAATACAGGTTAACTGCTAAATACATAGGTATGAGTATGATAAAAACCTAGGAAAAACGCCATTTTATGCCATAACTGACAAATAATTGTGAAAAGTACTATTAACATTGATTTTGGGAGATTAACATGGACTGAATTTTACTTGAAAGATTATCCTTAGTTAGTGGAGGATTTTCTGGGGGGAACACATGGTTTTTATGGGGGATCAGTCGTTACCAACAGGATATAAAAGATGGGGTACTGTAGGAAATTGTCTGCCATTTTATTGCCACCAAGGAGAGGGGGGTCATAAGGATACAAAGGAGCTTGGTGGGAGGGGGGGTATCAGGTAAACTTTTTCGTGTCACAACCAAATTCCTTCAACGAAAGAAAAACTGAGATTCGTTAAAACTATTTATAACCGAATTGAAACAGATCAGGCCTTTCGAGATTTCATTCCTTACATGCTCGCAAATATCTGTGCTTTACTGACTTTCCTTACAAAGGCTTTTCAGAGACAATGTTTTTAGACATTCTAGCCTTGTAATATATCAAATGAGATATGTACATGTACGCGGATAATTTGATGATTAAATTAATAAAAGCGAGAGTAGATTATACCAAGAGATTGTGAACAGCTTGTATTCTCGTGATTATACCTCGACCGCACGCGGAAAGCTTGCGAGGAGCGCTATAGTTTATTTCCTAAAGTTTTTCCATCTTCAACCTGCTCCCACGGTAAACTGTTAAACATCCAAAAAGTTTCTAAACACCTAAATACATTTGTACTCTAAAATGACATTTTTAGGAAAAACATTTTATTTCTTTGTTTTTTTTAGTTCAGAATGCCAGTTACGAAAGACTTGAAGAAAAGCCACGGGGCATTGACGAACATAAATGGAATTTTACCAAAATGTACGTGGAAAGTCTACAGTTTGAGACGAAAAGTTTAATGTCTGAAGCATCTGACAGCGGTATGGGAACTGAAGGAGCACCATCTGAATTTGACGTGGATATCGGTGGTCAGTATCGAAAAGTCAAAATTACCAAGCTTAGTTTCTGTGATGATAATAATAATAATAATAATAATAATAATAATAATAAAACTTTATTTAAACGCCATAAGTATTTAAAGCCAGAGGTTTGTGGGGTCGTGTTACAATAATATAACGTAAAAATATTAATATATAATAACATTTATAAATTTATTTAAATATATAAAAAATATATTCAGCTCCTTTTAAACAATACAGCAATATATATCTCAGACACTGCTAAGCAGTCACTCTGGATCCAACAAACACCACCAAACCAATAGTTTATTGATTTCTATTGATATTCATCGAATTCAAAACGACTGCCCAATAGTGATGGTTAAGTCAATCAATCCAATGCGATATTTAAATGTCATATTAAGATTGACTCAACCATGTCTCAAGAATACATGTACATTTCATTATATTTTGGTTTACATCGATCAGTCAAACGATCAAAATTGAAATGTAAGAAATCACGTGACTTAGTTAAAAGTTTACAGAAATGCTTTATACTCTTAGAATCTATGTAAAAAGCTATCATTCTGTTCTTGTTTAGTTTTTGATCTTGTTGTGATGACAGCAAAAAAAACCGTTATCATTCTTCGTGAAATGCTGGAAACCGTGTTTGAAATGTTCTGTATAGAAGGTGAACTTATTCTTTGAATGCCGCAGAACCCTCGAACAAAAGAAGTTATCTTTCAAATCGGCACTCTTAGTCCCAGGTTATCAACGAACACTTTTCGTTCAACTTATCTATGCTAGTTACCATGTTCCCACCAAAAGCGTTGATCCATTTTCTGCATAGAAACACACACAGGAGCCACAATTCCTTCATTCGCTCTGACGAAGGGCTAACGCTCGAAACGTCAGCTTTGAAACCCTTAACGATGGCCAATTTACGTTAAACTTATCAACTCAGTTGATAATACCAAATTACCTTGCTAAGTATTATTATTATTACTAGTAATAACCAAAGGTTAGGAAATGCGGGCGAGGACGATGCATTTTTGGCTATTTGGTTAATGAAAGATTTGGGGGCCCATAGGGAGAAAAGATTTGTTTTGCGGGGTTGAAAATTTAGTCCATGAGGACACCCCCCATGCTCCAATCGCTTTTTCCTCTATTTTGACACTAACAATAGGGTGATTTTAATAAACCTGTGAAACAGTTACCAACACTAGATCATTCCACGAGACACTAGTCCCATTGTTTTGTTTTGCTTAGTTTTAGTAATATGCTGTAATTGTTGTTGTTTCATGGTGTAAAGAAAATCACTGAAGGTTATAAAATACGCGTATTGATCGAGTCAAAATGATTGATGTAATGCAACAATTATCTATTTGTAAATATATTACTTTCAGTTATTTATTTATTACTGAAACGAAACGACCAATATATGAAGAAATTTCAGATTATTCCAAAATATAATGTATAAACGATCCCGTTCCAAGGACTGAAGGACGAACAACGCTCTCGCTCCACGCTTCTATGAGATCAAAGACAACAATCTCAGACTATACGCTTGTCAGGTCAAGGACGAACAATACCGACGCTCCACGCTTGAATTAAAGGACGAACAGATACAACTCTCTCTCTACGCTTGAGGTCAAGGACTAACAGACGAACAACACTCTCGCTACTCGCCTGAGGCGGAATGCGGCCGAGAAATGGCATCCAACGCGACATGAACGGAAACGTCGAATCCAGATATCGACACGCTTGATTTGGATTGGTCGGCGCTGCTGCTATGCGTTAGCTTCACGTGTTCCAAGGTCCAAATTACACATGATGCGCGTGAGAAAATAGCGTTCTTTGCATTCCATACATTCTTAGTGGTAGACTCACTATTTGAGCAAAAATCGAATCAGGGCCAAACTACACACCTGCCCGCATGCGTTTGTAAAAGCAACGTTGAGATTAGGATTGCTTGCTCCTCTTGTCGCCCGCAGTTATTATTATTATTATTATTATTATTATTATTATTATTATCATCATTGTTATTATTATTATTATTATGCCGAATAGAGCCGCTCAATTTGCGAAGCGAGCAAGCTGCGAGATACGATACCTTGAATTATATAACTGAAAAATGGAATGGAAGAACGGTGGATCGGCATAATGACGGAATATCCTAAAAGCGGAATGCCGTTTTGTATGAAGAAAAATGTCTCAAAAAATGGAATCGCAATAAAATAATAAGAAGCATAAGTAACATTGTTGGGGCTCAGAGGATAGGGGAACCATAAGGCTTTTGAGCGAACCCCAGCAAAACTATATTCTTTCGTCATTATACAACCTCTAGTTCTTTCCAATGCTCTAAAAATTGTTTTATATCAGAAGCCAAATGCAATCTTTGACTGTCTATTTTTATATATTGAGTATAAACGTTCTTATTATTACAAAATACGGAGAGGTATGTCTCTTCTGCTGTGAAATTTTTTTTCATTTATCTTTTTTTTCAGATAAACGTGACACTCAGACGATAGCAGGCGACGATTGGAACTCACTGTCATCAGCTGTGCAGACTGGCAACTTTGCCATCATCGAGGATATGTTGTCACGTGGCCTGGATATCAACACAAAAAATAACGATGGTAAAACGGCTTTAATTTTAGCTGCTTCGACTGGCAAAATAGATGCCGTAAATTACCTCTTGGACAAAGGAGCTGATCCCTTTATTGAAGGCCACTCTGGCATTACTCCACTGCACGCCGCCTCAAAGGATGATAATGTCACCATCATCGAGACACTAATGTCACGTGGTCTAGATGTCGATTCAAAAGATAGTGGAGGAAGTACACCATTGATGTTGGCTGCAGCTTGTGGCAAGATTGAAGCTGTAAATTATCTTTTAGACAAAGGAGCCGATCCCTGTATTGGAAACCAGTTAGGAGGAAATTCACTACACGTCGCTTCACAGGGTGGTAATGTCACCATCATCGAGAAACTAATGTCACGTGGTCTAGATGTCGATTCAAAAGATAGTAAAGGAAGTACACCATTGATGTTGGCTGCAGCTTATGGCAAGATTGAAGCTGTAAATTATCTTTTAGACAAGGGAGCCGATCCCTGTATTAGAGACCAGTCAGGAAGAAATTCACTGCACACCGCTTCACAGGGTGGTAATGTCACCATCATCGAGACACTAATGTCACGTGGTCTAGATGTCGATTCAAAAGATAGTGAAGGAAGTACACCGTTGATGTTGGCTGCAGTTTGTGGCAAGATTGAAGCTGTAAATTATCTTTTAGACAATGGAGCCGATCCCTGTATTAGAGACCAGTTAGGAAGAAATTCACTGCACGCCGCTTCACAGGGTGGTAATGTCACCGTCATCGAGAAACTAATGTCACGTGGTCTAGATGTCGATTCAAAAGATAGTGGAGGGAATACACCGTTGATGTTGGCTGCAATTGGTGGCAAGATTGAAGCTGTAAATTATCTTTTAGACAATGGAGCCGATCCTTCTATTAGAAACCAGTTAGGAATAGATTCACTACACGTCGCTTCACAGGGTGGTAATGTCACCATCATCGAGAAACTAATGTCACGTGGTCTAGATGTCGATTCAAAAGATAGTGGAGGAAGTACACCATTGATGTGGGCTGCAGTTTGTGGCAAGATTGAAGCTGTAAATTATCTTTTAGACAATGGAGCCGATCCTTCTATTAGAAACCAGTTAGGAATAGATTCACTACACGTCGCTTCACAGGGTGGTAATGTCACTGTCATCGAGAAACTAATGTCACGTGGTCTAGATGTCGATTCAAAAGATAGTGGAGGGAATACACCGTTGATGGTGGCTGCAGGTTTTGGCAAGATTGAAGCTGTAAATTATCTTTTAGACAAAGGAGCCGATCCTTCTATTAGAAACCAGTTAGGAACAAATTCACTGTACGTCGCTTCACAGGGTGGTAATGTCACCATCATCGAGAAACTAATGTCACGTGGTCTAGATGTCGATTCAAAAGATAGTACAGGAAGTACACCATTGATGTTGGCTGCAGCTTGTGGCAAGATTGAAGCTGTAAATTATCTTTTAGACAAAGGAGCCGATCCCTGTATTAGAGACCAGTTAGGAAGAAATTTACAACACGCCGCTTCAGAGGGTGGTAATGTCACCGTCATCGAGAAACTAATGTCACGTGGTCTAGATGTCGATTCAAAAGATAGAAAAGGAAGTACACCATTGATGTTGGCTGCAGGTTTTGGCAAGATTGAAGCTTTAAATTATCTTTTAGACAATGGAGCCGATCCCTGTATTAGAAACCAGTTAGGAATAAATTCACCACGTTTCACAGAATGTCACTGTCATCGAGAAACTAATGTCACGTGGTCATGTCGATTCAAAAGATAGTGGCATGGCGGCTGCAGTTTGAAGATTGAAGCTGTAAATTATCTTTTAGACAATGGAGCCGATCCCTGTATTAGAAACCAGTTAGGAATAAATTCACTGCACGTCGCTTCACAGGGTGGTAATGTCACCGTCATCGAGAAACTAATGTCACGTGGTCTAGATGTCGATTCAAAAGATAGTAAAGGAAGTACACCATTGATGTTGGCTGCACAAGATTGAAGCTGTAAATTATCTTTTAGACAAAGGAGCCGATCCCTGTATTAGAGACCAGTTAGGAAGAAATTCACTGCATAATGTCACCGAGAGAAATGTCACTAGTTGTCGATTCAAAAGATAGTGATGTTGATGTTGGCTGCAGCTTATGGCAAGATTGAAGCTGTAAATTATCTTTTAGACAAAGGAGCCGATCCCTGTATTAGAGACCAATTAGGAATGAATTCACTGCACGCCGCTTCACAGGGTGGTAATGTCACCATCATCGAGACACTAATGTCACGTGGTCTAGATGTCGATTCAAAAGATAGTACAGGAAGTACACCATTGATGTTGGCTGCAGCTTATGGCAAGATTGAAGCTGTAAATTATCTTTTAGACAAAGGAGCCGATCCCTGTATTAGAGACCAGTCAGGAAGAAATTCACTGCACGCCGCTTCAGAGGGTGGTAATGTCGCCATCATCACAAAAATGCTGTCACTTGGTTTGGATGTTAATTCAAAAGATTTTGCAGGTCGCACACCGTTAAAAATCGCAAAAACATATGGCAAAACTGAGGCCGTAACCTTCCTACTTAGCAAGGGAGGACATTAGTTTTTATTTCTTACTGCTCCTTTAAAATACGTTGTTCAGGTCCATAGTCGCGAAAAGAAACGATTGATAAATTTCACAATATTGAGTAAGACTAGATAATAATTAATTCATAATACCGCGAGAGAAGGAACAAATCTAGGAAGGCCCATCGATTCCCTCTTTGATTGTATAAAATAGATCACCTGCACACGATGTCATCA